GGTCCCAGCTCAAATTGCAAATGTTTTTGTGGAAGGGGGGCAGTATGCATCAGAAATTGTGGAATGGGGCAACATACTCCTGTATGATGGAGTGCCTGGAAGACCTCTAGCTCACATTTTATGGCATCCTCAACCCCTGGGTCATGGACCAGTATGTTAGGAACTGGGCCACACAGCGGGAGGTGAGCAGCAGGCAAGTGAGTGGAACTTCATCTGTATCTGCAGCTGCTCCCCAGTGTGAGCATCACCGCTGGGGAGCAGCTGCGAATACAGATTATCCTTAGGGCCCTTTTGGGTCTTGAAAGGGAGAGGGAGAGGTGGCAGTGGCGGCAGGCAGTAAGTGGTGTGGAGAAGCCCAGGAGGGCAAACGCAAGCAGTGAGGGAACTGGAAAGCAGGTCAGGGCTGGGCTGTGGGCTGCGGGGGAGGCGGAGGCGGAGGCGGAGGCAGAGCAAGCAAGGCGCTGAGCAAGTCTGGCACGTGGTGCAGGCGTAATGAAGAGCAAGGGGGCAGGAAGAGCCGCTGGTGGACCACAAGGCCTATTTGATGCCGCGTGCTACTGCTGCAAAGCCCTTTTGGGTCTTGGGCCTCTAGCATTATTGTGAGTTGTATACTTATTTCATTGTATACTGCAAGGTAATAATAATAGAAATAGAGTGCACAATAAATGCAATGTGCTTGAATCATCCCAAAACCACCCCCCCCACCACACCCTGGTCCATGAAAAAATGGTCTTCCGTGAAACTGGTCCCTGGTGCCAAAAAGACTGGGGACTGTAGGCGTAATAGATGCAAAATTAGTCCTATAATCTAGTTCTTCAAGGTCACTGCCAAGTTCAGGCTGATGTATGCCATCCCCAGATGTTAGGTTCCATCCTTTTACAATGTTCTTTTTATAAACTAAAACACACCTTGGTTACAAATGTCACCAAATTTGTGTAAGTCACAGGTTGTAAGATACTTATATTACCCAAATGAAAGACTCTGAAAAAGGTGATAAAGAAGGTCACCTATGGTTCATCCTAGTTTCTTTTCAAAGCCAACTGTTGGAGCTAAAAACACCAGCAAACAGACTTAACTATCACCCAGTATGACTCTTAAAAATAGCATTAATTGCATTTGAGGTCACTTTTGACTCCAAAAGTGCCTCAGACAAGACAAACACAGCACAGAAAGATTTTGCCCTTGCTGCATGTTTCTGCCAGGTCTCAGTTAGGTTAAGACTGGATTTCTGGTTTCAGCTCATGCAGGTAATTTAAGACTTCATTTTTTTCCTACAACAACACATAATAATAAAACTTCCTTTGTGATGCTTGGCCTTTGATCTGTGTAACCATAGTTTGGCCTACAAACATTAAACCGCATTAAAAGAACAATAAAACAACCCCTTTTCTTCAATGAATTTTAAAAAGGCATCTGAACATTGACTAAGTCCAAGCGAGGCACCGGAAACTCTCCCTCTAATAGCACTTCACCTCGTCCTTGCTATCTTTGCTTAGCCTAAGACTCAGCAAAGATAGCACAGAAAGCACACCAGATGGATGTGTGCTCTGAAGCAAGACTCTTGTAGTGATACACACAGCCGCTCCAGCTTTCAGCAAGCTTGCAAGGAACAATTACTTAGCCTTAAAACAAATGTAGCTAGATGTTTACTTCTTTTTTCACTGAAGCAATGGATTTGCCTGGGGTAGAGTGATAATCAGAGGACAAGCCAAAACCAAATGTAGTTTGTAGTTTGTGAACTACTCTAGGAGAAGGGTGGGTATTTGGCACCCTGGACAACCTATACCTTTCTCCAGCATTATCATCATCATCATCATCATCATCATCATCATCATCATCGAGATAATCAAATCATCGAATGCAGATCACCAAGAAACACCAAGAGGCATCTTAACCTTCAGCTTTCAGAAATAAAATTGAAGTTTTTAGTACTCAAGTCTTGGGAGACAGACTTGAAAGTGAAATTGGAGAAAGTCGTGGATAAGTCTTCAAGGTCCTACCAAGCTCTTGGCTGTTTACCATCTTCATAGATTTGATGGGCCATCAAATAGAGGAAAGGGGGAAATGTTTTGCTGTTCTAGAGTTCAGGAACAAACCAACAGATGCAAATTACAGGAAGGGTGATTTTTGACTAAATGGGATGGGAACCTTCTTGATGGGATAAGCTCTTTGAAATGGACAAGAGTGTGTCAGCCTTTCCAGTGTGAAAAGTTTGCAAGTAGAGTCAGGATGGATCCTGCCATTAGCAGCAAACAGGATTATCTTTCATGTATGTTCCAGTACTATGATTCTGTGGTAACCCACTTGTTACCTCTATGAGTCCAATTCTGTAGCCAGCTGTAGATCCACCTGAGAGTTCTTTCATGTAGCCCACTTTTATCTGATCTACTAATTAGAGAATCATGATGTGCTTCATAAAAGACTTTATTAGAGTCAAGATAGATTATGTCCATAGCCTTCCAAAGTCCATTAGGGACGTTATCAAGGGAAGGGAAGGGAAGGGAAGGGAAGGGAAGGGAAGGGAAGGGAAGGGAAGGGAAGGGAAGGCACAAGAGATAAGAGATGATAAGAGATAAGAGATAAGAGATAAGAGATAAGAGATAAGAGAAGAGAAGAGAAGAGAAGAGAAGAGAAGAGAAGAGAAGAGAAGAGAAGATGATTTTGGCAGCATTTGTTCTTGAGAATCCATGTTGGCTTCTAATGATAGCTGCCTTGTTGTCAAGTCTTCTGCAGACTGACTGCATTATAATCAGCTCCAGATTTTCCCAGGGATTGATTCCAGACTGACTGGTCTATAGTTCCCAGGTTTTTCTTTTCCTTTTCCTATTTGAAGATAAGGGGCAACATGAGTCATATTGCAGCTTCTCCAGTCAGTTCTACATCAATGGCACTTTCTCAGACGGGGGCGGGAGGTAACAAGTGGGTTACCACAGCGCTTGTCAACAATTGTATGAATTATTTATTTGGATGAAGAAATGCAGGGAACAATTACCAAATTTGCAGATTTCGCAAACCTAGGTAGGAAACTAATATCTTGAAAGATAAAAACAAAATTCAAGGTGATCTTGATAGGTTGGAGTGATGGGCTGAAAACCACTGAATGAAATTCAGTAGGGACAAATGCCCAAGTTCTGCACCTAGGAAAAAGAAACCAAATGTATCATTACAAGATGGTGAATACTTGGCTCAACAATACTGCAAGTGAGAAGGAATGGTCGTAGATTGCTAACTCAATATGAGTCAACAACGTGATGTGTCTGCAAAAAGGAAAAATGCTATTTTAGGCTGCATTAATATAACTATCACTTCCAAATTCCATGAAGTTCTAGTTCCCCTTTATTCAGCATTGGTTTGGTCTCATCTGGAGTACAGTGTGAAGTTCTGGGAACCCCAGTGGAAGAAAGATGCAGTCAAGCTGGTAAAAATTGAGAGGAAGGCAACAAGGATGATATAGGGACTGGAAACAAAGCCCTATGAGGAAAGAACTGGGTATGTTTAGTCTCAAAAAGAGAAGACTGAGGGGGAAATGGTAGGTATTTCACAAGTGGAGCTGGCTGGATCCTGGGGGTCTCTTCTGACTCACTCTGTTACTCTGTTTCTAAATATGATAGCACTCTTCAAGTACTTGAAAAACTACTACAATGAAGAAGCACAGGATCCGTTCTCATTCATCCAAGAGTGCAGGACATGGAATAATGGACTCACGTTACACCAAGCCAGATTTTGGCTAGATACCAGGAAAAACTTCTCAAGTTACAGAAAATTTCCTGACTGTTCAAGCAGCACAGCAACAGAACCAATAACCTAGGAAGGTTGTGGGCTTTCCCACACTAGAGGAATTCAAGATGCGACTGGACATCCATCTGAGAGTCCTGCACTGACCAGGGGCTTGGACCTGATGGCATTCCGGCCTCTTCCAACTGGACTACTCTATAATTCTACGAACACAAGACAGACAGCAAACAGACCAGTAGCATAATCTGCTCAAAAGTAAGTCTTATTGAGTCCAGTGGCTCTTACTTCCAAATAAGCATGTTCAGTATTGAACCTACTTCCCTGACCTGGTTAATAAGTCTTCCTCACAATATCTTGACAAAATCATTCCTTACCTGCCCCACCCCTTTAAAAATATAAGGATGCAATCCTGGACTCATTTAAGTGGGTGCAACTCCCGTTGAACCAAGTGCAATTTTTTTCTCAGTAGCCATGGACATGGAGATTCTGTGCAGCATTAGATTTAATTCTGTTTTAATTGACTATTTCAGTGTGTTTGTCTGGGCAGGCAGAGGGAGAGGGAAAGAAGAAGGGAAGTAGAAGAGAAAGAGAATGAACTTCAGATATTGTGAAGAATAGAAACCTAAGTAATTAATAAATGTATATGAGAAAAGGAAGAAAATGTAAAGTGGAACTGACCCCACCCACATTTGACTCCAACACTGATAATTGGACACAATGTGGTCCCCACTTCCCCAACCATCGCACAAACGTTTGCAGGGAGCTAACTCCTAACATTTCCCTATTGTGGAATCAGAAGAGGTGTTTGTATGGTTTACTGTTTATCTGGACACTGCAGAGAAAAAGCATTTTTCAGTCTCTATGACCTTCCTTTGACACCAGATGTTTCTGAGCTGATGATACATGTTGGACCAGGTAATATCTGATAAATTATTCACCACAGAAGGAATTCAAAACTTCCCTTCCAGTCACAATAGCTCTTTCATAGACTTCAAAGGATTTGTGCTCCCAGCAAAAGACATCAGCAAAATGAAATTCAAAGTTGTGGACAAAACACATCCTCTCTCTCTCTCTCTCTCTCTCTCTCTCTCTCTCTCTCTCTCTCTCTCTCACACACACACACACACACACACACACACACACACACACTTTTTGGAAGAAGTTTGATATATCCAACTCTTCCTGGTCTCTAACATGACTTATACTCTTCATTTAAGGGTGGTTTGAAGTGAGAGAGTTTGGATAATGTTTGCACAAGGACTTACCTTGAATGCAAAGACCTTCAGTGCAATTCTCAGATTCTTGGCTTGGCCCTTCACAGAATTTCCCACCATTCCGTGGAGCTGGAGCAGTGCATTCACGGATCCTCAAGTGTTCACACTCCGGGCTGCAGACAGACCACTCACTCCACACTTCCCAGCCACCATCCACTAGACAGAAGAAGACAAGTTAGAATACAATCCTATTAAACAGGAGACTTCATGTCAGAGCACATAACCTAGTTTCTCCTGTCTCCTCCCTCTTTTCTTCCTCTCTGGGCTCACAATCCCAACCTCACAGAAGTAGCTGGTGTGGTTCATGATGAAGCAGATGCAAGGGTAGGGAGAAGATGATCAGAGCTCAAATATTCAATTCCATGGTTGGAGCACTGGAAATCAGAACAATTCTATGGCCCCCTATCTGGGAATGATAGACTACCCCCAACCTGGAAAATATAGCCTGGTTCTTGCCCTCCTTCCTACACACCTTCAATTTTGCATGAAGTTTTCTTGTCTGAGAACATGATGTGAAGCCCATTGAAAAGGTGCACAACTCATGTGCACATTTAGAAAGAGACATCCAAGAGTCTACTTAAAGTTTCATTGGGCTTATCCTCTCACCACCACCAACACCCAAAGCTTTCCATCTTATATGAATACAAGTCCTAAGAAATGTCAAGGTGAATTCAGAAAGCCTTGGCAAATGAGTTGTTTTGATCTGCATATCCCTAATCCAAAAGCAGCAGTGACATCCAAAGCAAATTTGGAAAGACTTATTCCAAGTCTGTGGAAGCAAGAGTCTGTGAAAGCAAAATGAACCAGCTATACACATTTCCTAAAATTAATATGTAGCAACAATCAAAGGCTATATTTTGGAGAGTCAAACAGGATTTCAGAACTTGGCTTTTTATTACTACTATTTCTTACAGGTATAGCTCACCTTTTCCTCCAAGGAGCCCAAGCAACACCTCTTCTTCCCCATTTTATCCACCCATCAAACCTGCAAGGTAGTTTTGACTGAAAAGTAGTGACGGGCCCAAAGTCATCCAATAAGCTCCATGACCAAGTGGAGACGTGACCCTGGGTCTCCCCAGTTCCAGCCTAACCAACACCCCAGATGGGCTGATCACACTAAGTGTGCAATAATATGCAACAGAATTGGAAAAACAGGCCTGCATTCTGCAATACAAAAGAAGCTGGACTAAAGCTTTTAAAATAAATACAATATAATACCATAATAAAAACCTACTGAATTTGAATTTCAAGCTCAAATGACTTCCTTAGATGTTTACATGTATCAAAATGTACCTATCATCGAATAAAAGCTTTAAATGGCTTATTTTAGGTCATATATCTTCCGCCCAATTTCTGTGCTATTTTCTTGCATTCATTTGAGTTGCTACAATGGAAAAAATGAGAGAGAAAGGGAGGTTGCCTGAAGTGAAAAGCAAAGCAAAAAATATCTTAGGAAAAATGCTGACAACTGGAGACTAGTTTTCAGTCTGGAGTGGGTCTGTAGCAAAGGCTAGTTCACACTTGACAACTTTTATGTAACTTTCTTTCATGAAATACCACTTCTATAATCTGAACCAATACCATGATGTTCCATGGTCATGTTATGAAGAAATTAAAACCATTTTACATGCCAATTGGCATGCCTATACCCAACACAACTAAACTGTTTCACATGAAACCTTTGTACCAGGTGAACACTTTGGGTTTTATTTTGTTTTGTTTTGTTTTTTTACATTTGTACCCTGTCCATTGTACAAGCCTCAGGACAGCTTACAAAAGATTAAATAATAACATAAAATACAATTAAAACATTCAATAATAATAATTCAAAACTAACTATAATATGCTTAACAATTCAAAACTAAAAGAAAGATAGGAAGAAAAAGAAAGAAGAAAAAGAAAATGTGACTGTGTAAAATGTTATTAATTTAACTACAATTTAATTATTAAAATGATGGGTAAATAAAAAGGTCTTTATCTGGCACTGGAAAGAGTAGAGTCAGTGCCAGGCAGACCTCTCTGGGGAGCATATTCCATTATTTCCCCAGAAATTATCCTGAAAGTTTAGTATCAATCTGCTTTAAATCCTTTATTGTATTTTAAGTCTTTGTACTGTTGCTATGTAATACTGTAGTTGTTACTACTATTTTATGTGATTGTTTTAACCATTTAATTTCAGTACTGCATTTTATGCTGTGTTTGATGTTTCCAAATTGTTTTAAATACTTGTAAACAACTCATTCGGCTATTGGACAATACAAAAGTGTGATAAATTAATCACAAGAGTTGAATTCATCAGTTCTAATATTGTACAGTAATTTTCAACTTGTTGACTAAGTGTCAGTTCAAATTATACCTGTTGTGAAATCCTCTGCTGAAATTTTGTCATGTCATTTGGAGGGGGTAAATCAGCAGGGGATATTCTGCTAATTGGCAGAGGTGGAAGGAACACTAGTCAAAGGGATCCCAAAAGTAGGAACATTAAGCTTTATACACTGTGATGTACATGCAACATAAATAAACTTACACAGGGGACACTTTTCACTCTGTCTTGCCGTGAATGACTTTGCATTCCCCCCCCCCCCAAAAAAATCATATTCAACCAATATGGGATTGAATTGTCATCCCACATTTCATGCCAAAAAAAGGGTTTGGGTCTTTGGAAGCAAAGGAAGAATGCTTATACTTGTAATGCCAAACCATGGTTTTGGTGTTATGGCTGAATAGCCACTCAGAGTGATGGAAATGTTGCTTTGGAAATTCAAGGTCCAATCAAGCTGAAGGCTAAGATGAGGCTGACATGTGCAAGAAACATCACAGCTTGCCTTCAAGGTCTCTTGTTAATGTCTACGAGAAATTCAGGATCAATACATCTGTCAACTGACTTACAGCAGCCCACTCTCTGCCTCATGGTCTTTGCAATCCCTTGTCCAGTTCTACCTGATCTTGCTTGTGGCCAGATTATACATATTAACAAAGGGAGCTGAAAAGAAGAAAGGAAGGAGGAAAAAGAAAGAAATCCCAGATGCAATAAATTCCAATTTAAATCCTGTGGACACGAACAGTCACCCACAGTGTTCAAAGTTCTTTGGATAATAACACCTAAAATAGAATGTGGGTGCAATTTTAACATTTACTGACATGCACCGTTCAACTTCATTTGGGGAGAGAGAGGAACATGAAAACCTCATATAATCAGAATGGCAGAGAGACCTACTGGTTGCTAGCCATTATAAATGCCACTGGATGATAAATGAAGGTTCATTTCTTCTAGGGAATGGGAAGGGATAAGTCAGGGTAGGGAAGCAGTCTAAAAAGATGATAGAACCATGTTACATGCAAAGAAGACTTGCTTTCCTACACGTGAGCTTCCTGAGTACACATGACTGCCCACTGTGGGAAGCAAGCTTCTGGAATAGCTGGAAAAAATGGTCTAATACAGCAGGACTTTTTGGAGCATTCTTACAAATCCAGCTAGGACACAATCCTATGCAAGGTTCGACAGGAACAGCTGGGGCACGCTGGGAACAAGACTGAATAGCTAATATTTATTTCCATATCTAGTGGGATGACTATGTGATCCCTCAGGGGACATGTCCTTCCCAATTCACAGAATCACAGAATAGCAGAGTTGGACGGGGCCTTAAAGGCCACTGTGTCCAACCACCTGCTAGTGCAGGACATCAAGCATCAAGTTACAGCATTCATATACCACAAGAAATTTTGCACCATCACAGCAGATCGAGCACCCAATAATGCTTGCACACTTGCTTGCAGATACTCGTGGGGCTGGGGACTGCCAGAGGTTTCTGCGGCAAAAGCAAATAAAACACCCCAGGGACTTCCTTGATTGTGACACATTAAGAATGATGAGTTCATTTTGAGGGTGTGGTGACATTTTCATTTGGGCCTGTCAGCTAACGTCTCTCTCACCAGGACACAATGAGGTGCAGGTGATCTTTTGCACAGACATTCCCTCGCAGAAAGCACCTCCGTTGAGAGGAGCTGGGTTGGTGCAGGTCCGCGATCTCTTCTGCCACCCTCTGCCACATCGTACATTGCAGGTGGACCACTCTGTCCATGAAGACCAGCCTCCATTCACTGCAGCCAACATGTATGGGGAGTGGGAAACAATGGATAGCACATTAGCATCATTAAAATGCAAATCCTGACTTCAGATCCTTCCAATGTAAAGCCCTCTCTCTCTTTCTGTATTCTCCATGCTAAATTTTAAGTTCACTTGTAGATACTGCTGTGTGAATAGAACTGAGGTGCAATTACATAAAGAACTTGGTGTTGAAGAACAGGCACGTTTGTGCATGGCAGATTTGTGTGCCAGGTGGTGCTAGAGAGGACAGTAAGCTGTGGGAGAGAAAGGGGAGGCTACCACCTTAATTCTCTCCTAACACATTCCACTTACTGTGGATAACACAAACATTTAAAGGGAAAAAAGATGAAGAGTGGTTGTCTAGGCATCCTTCTGAATCAATAAAATGTCAATCTGCAGTTTAATGAGAAGAAAGAAGGGGCAGTGAAGAGGAAAAGAGCCAGGAAACTTCCCTTTGGCAGTTCAGATTCCATTTCTTGAAAATCTGAGCATGGGCATCATTTACTTGGTGCCCGAAGCTCAGTTAACAAGCCCCTCCAAAGAGAACGGATTGTTTAAGTCCCATGGAGGCATGGAGATTAGGCTGATTATCTAAAACAGTGGTAGGGGACCTGTCACTTTCCAAATACTGTTAAATTCTAACTCTCATCAGCCCCATCCAACATGGCTGGTGATGGTAGGAGCTGTAGTCTCTTCTAAAGTGGTCATTAAACTGTGGATTAAGCAATCATGACCATATCACCATTGAACCCAATTCAGCAAGTAGAATAGTGGAACAGAACTTGCCTTCTGTTCTTCTGGAAGAGAATTTCTAATATTGGTCAAATTGGTGCAGAATAGATATATATGTAAGATGTGAATCATTTAATTTTCAAAATCCTATGTTATTTGGGGTTTAAATGAAAGAGTCAGCACCTTGAACTGGGTCTGGAATAAGCAGGCAATTGATGCAGATCACAGTGAAAAGTCTCTGAGCAATCCCAGAGAAAAGTCAGGCATATCAGTCGCCTGGCATGTGAGCAAAAGCTGATATAAAGCAAGTCTTCTCGCCATCACCACCTGAACAGCCATAAGCAATAAGCAAGAATGGATCAAGAAGCACTCCTTAGTTTAAAATCTACACCTTACCAGGGACTGAGACTCCTTTCAGAATATTGCATCACTGATCAGAGGGATCACAGACTGAGGATGGATTAACATGTTTGAACTCATTGAGCTCCTCCAAATTTCTCCTTGAAGCTGAGTTGCTTTGTTTGCATCCCTGTCCTTCTTTGATGATGGAGGGAGGGGTACCAGATGGTCACTTCTGGAGCCAGTGTTTCCTGTTGCATGATTGGTGGGTTGGTGGGGTACAGGCAGGACTGGAAGCTGCCCCCGGTAATCTCATTTTACTGCCAAGTGATCTTCTTGGCTAGATACATTGATCCTGAATCACTCTCTGCCTACTCCTTTATTTTCTGTCATAGACTGGAAGCTCTGTGGGTAGAGATTGCACTATTTGTACAGCCTCCAGCTGACTATTGGCACAAAATAAACTTTGTAATGGTTGCATAGACAGGGGATTTTTTAAAACATGATCCAACATACATTTTATTTTTCTCAGTTGTTTGACCCTTGGGATGGGATGGGTATTTAAGATTGTCTGTTTGCACCATGATTGCCTAGCAGCAATTTAATAATTTGTGTTGAAGCATGTCATTTGGAATGGCTGGTTAGTGTAATGTTTGAAGTCATCAAGTAGGTATGTTAGGACTGTCTATCAATCAACGGGTGTGAAAGCTAATTAATGATCTTGTTGTTAACTGTTATTCTATTCTCTGATTAAAATGCTCATTGCAATATCTTAATTCAAGTGATATTTTTAGAACACTGAAGAAAGACATCTCCATTAATCATTTAAAGTAAATGTTACCATTACTCATGTCTGCGGATAAGCCATTTATTACATGGGGTGGGTATGGAGGAGGAACTCATTAATGGAAGAGATCCAAGGAGTTTGCTTTTGGCATTGCTTAAGCATGGGAGCTTTTCCTAAAGCTTACTCTAATCTTGTTAAATGGGTGTGTGCATTTATTTTTTTATTTTGTTCTATTTTTGTTCTGTGCTAGTTCTTTGGAAATAAAGATGTCCCCAGGTTCTTCCAAGCTTCTCTCTTGTGTACTCATCATGATCATTACTGCCTCCATCTTACAGTTCATTCAAAGCAAGGTTTGGGCCTCTGGAACACCATGTGGAGAGAGTTGTATTTCATACCAGTGCAGAGACAACCAAGGGGAAATGTGTACATGAAGTGGGGCTTTATTTTCCATTTTTATTTATTTATTTAGAAGACTTCTATGCCGCCCCATCCATCGAAGCCTCAGGGCAGCTCACATCCATAAATAAACTTCCATAGAATAATATAAATTAACAGTATAAATTAAGTCACCCTGGCCAAAGAATAAAATGAATAAATACTATTGGATTGGATTGGTAGAACAGAAGTGAAACCATATTGCTGTCCACTTAGGAATGTGTGGTGCTAGGAATTCCATTCCATTTAAGCCCAAGAGGACTTCCAGGGTTTATATTCTGATAATTGATGGTGGACTGCAGTGGATTTTTCCCACTTGCTTTCAGAAATGTTTGCATTCCTTTGAACACGTTACACTTTGGGGTAGCAGGTCTTTATATATGTGTTTGTTTGTTTGATGGGCAGTTCTGCATATGTCTGACTATCCATTAGAGGAAGCAAAAATGCCTAGCCAATATCCTTAATTTCATTCCTTCCACACACTACTTCAGTTAATCCAGCAGAATTATAGTCCATAATTATTAAAAAAATACATGTCTGCTTCATTCTGTACTTTGGTCTTTCCTTTCTTTCACTCATAGGGAATATGGAATAAGGAAGAAAGAGACTGACAAGGATATTTTCTATGGGAATAAATAGTAGACACACAGATTTGCCTGAGAATGCCTACACAAACACACACACACACACACACTGATCTGCACAAATTTAAGATCGATGATGATGATGCCTCCTTTATGCAGATCATAAAACAACACAAAGCAAAACAAAATGTTTGTACAAAGTGCCCACCACCATTACAAAACAAACAAAACTCTGCATTGTATTGGCCCACAATGTAGGAAGTCAGTGACAATGGGGAGAGGAGCAAAATATCTAAAGGCCAAACTAGTAAAATTTGTTGAGAATTAACTCTCAAAACAGAGTGCCAATATATCTGCACCCAATCCCAACTTCTATCCATTAATCATCAAAATGTGCAGAGAAACTACACATGTACAACTTTCATGCTTGAAGTTCCTTCTCATGTGATTTGGGAACCTCTGAGTCTCAATTGTATACAGAAAGCCTGCATTCATGTGCAAATGAATGCACAAGCACACACATATGCACAAAGATGTACATTAGTGAGCTTTTTATACACACACCTAATTAGTGAACATTTGGAGGTCAGGAAAGGGAAAATCACCATGATCTCTTTCACTCTGCTCTGTTGGAAGACCAGCCAACTGGCCGTCTTTAATATGAATTACTTGTAAAATTGCATGTATGCTTAGAATGAATGAACCAGCAGATCAACACTTGCAGGCCAAGAAATGAGAGTGATTCATATTTACTTACCATAGACTACCACGGTGGCTGACAAGCTTCTTCTCTCAGCAACGACATTGGCTGCCATACATGTGTAGTTCCCCGAATCAGACAGACGGGCTTGACGAATGATCAAGTTGTGATCTGCTCGGGTGTCAATATTCTCATCCTGCTCAGCATCAATGGGTTCTTCATTTTTAAGCCATTTCACCTGGTAAGTGGAGCAGTGTGGAAGAAAGCAGGATAACATTGGTGAAGCATTAAGCCATTTTATTTAAAATATTTTAGCCTGTATCATTGGTCAGCCAAAATAACTGCCTGGGTGTAGAATCAAGTTAAACAATAGAGGTACCTCTTCATAAAACAGGCTTCATTTGTGGAATTAGACAAAGTTACGAGGGGCAGGTTTGTCAGAAGTGGAAGTCAGTGATTTCTACATCAGTGGACTTCTATAGCCATCACTGTTTTCAGCTGTCCATGGTGCTGAACACTATCCCCCAAAACAGAGCTCTCTGCCATGGAGCACCATGAATAGCTCCTAGAAAGCTGAAAACAGCTTATTTGTTCAGCCTTACTTTCAATTGGTCCTGAACTTAAAAAAAAAACAAAAAAACCTTCCATTCACTCTGAAGTTTGCAAATACTTTTTTAAAAGCTTGCATCAAACAGTGTAAACATTTTTATACATTCCTCCCAGTGAATTTTTGTATGCAATTTTGCCTAATATACACGATCATTGAAAGCATTTTTCTTAATACAATGCATTTTAATATTATTTCACCAATGTATGTCTTTCAAGGATAACTGAGTTTTGGTTCGTGCATTGATTTGAAAATGCAAAATGAAATAAGTTCTCATTAAAATGTGAACTAAAAGCATTTCTCCCAAAAACTGCTGTGAGTAATTTATCCACATCATGGAACAAAAAACAAATCTTATCACTGTCCCTCAATCCCTCCAGAGCAGTGAGACATTTCAGGGGCAGCAGTTTTGAGGATTGGTTTTCTTTGGATGAGAGAACACTGGTGTCATATGGTGCCTTTGAAATATTTTGTTTATTTAGAAATATCCTGGCACAGGAATGGAAGGATCAGCCAGTTTCCAATCCTTGCAGTTTTTATGTCCATTCAGTTATAAGTCTGCTCAATCCTATTTTCTCCAATCACAGCCACACCCACACACTATTACAAAGAAAGCTCAAAGGACTATTGTGCACTGCTCCGGTGTACTGTTACCATGTGTCCTGCTGAAACACAGTCAGAGCATCCACAAGTCTCCTCCACTAGAGGTCAAGGAATCAAATGCCCCCCACACTCCCACTTTCGCCCTATGGCACAGGTAGTGCAGCAAGAAAGAAGCCAAAGACTAGAGAGGCAGTCCCATCTCCAGGTCCAGTCCTGGGCTCTTTATCAGTCTTCACTCTTTAAGGACAAGTGGGACAAGTCAGGGGAGAGAACCAGGGTTTTGGGACCAGGTTGTTAGAGGTACTGCAGAGGCTGGTGGGACTCCCAAGAAGAAGAGAGGAAGGAGGAGGCCAGGGAACACAAAGAAAGGGATTTGGGGGAAGGTGCTGAGATGCATGATACCAATGCTAGGAGCATGGGAAACAAGCAGGAAGAACTCGAGGCTCTCTAGGGAATAGGAGGGTATGACAGGAGGTGGGACTGCTTAATACAGAGGAAGGGGTTTCAGTGACTGACGTGAGGGAACAGGCAGAGATGCTAAATGACTATTTTGCCTCTGTGTTCTCCCCAAAGCAGAATGGGGGAGATCTACATGGGAACCAGATGAGGCTGACAATATAGGGGCACAGATTAGGGGCACCCCCCCCCAGAAGTCGAGGAGTCCCTCAGGGCACTGGATGTTACAAAAGTGTCAGGCATTGATGGGTTACACCTGAGGGTACTTAGGGAGTTGGCTGGGGTAATTTTGGTGTGGTGAAAATCTGCTGGCCTCCACCTGTGAGGCCTCATGGAGAAGTGATGATATTCCAGGGGACTGGAGGGTGGCATCAGTCGTCCCAATCTTCAAAAAGGGTAGTAGAAGGGACATGGGGATTACAGACCACTTAGCCGTATGTCCATTCTAGCAAAGAAAATGTAAAGGCTCATAATAGTACTAACCCTAGATAAGAAAGGGAGGTTGGTGGCCATGCAGCATGTCTTCCACACAAAAAGGTCCTGCCAGACAAACCTTGTGGAATTCTAGGACAAGCTTAAGAGGTGGCGAGAAGGAGGGCAAATGATGGATGTGATTTAACCTGGATATCAGCAGCGCCTTTGACAAAGTGATGCATGATACCGGCTTGAGAAATTGAAGAGCTTTAGGGCAATCCATCAGACAATGTCCCAGGTTCACAGACCAGGGTCACTATTAGTGGGGAATCATCAGGATGGTGGCCAGTGATGAGCAGGGTCACCCAGGGCTGTGTCCTGGGACTGATCCTGTTCAATCTTTTCATCAGTTACATGGCGGAGGGGGTGACAAGTCTGCTGATCAAATTCACAGGTGCAGCAGCCACAACTGAGGAGCAGGTGCTCCGGATCCTAGGATGCATAGCCAAAGGAGTGGCTTCTATATCAAGAGAGGTATGACTGCCACTCTATATGACTCTGGTGTGCCCACACCTGGAGTACTGTGTTCATTTCTGGGCCCCTCATTACAAGAGAGATATAGCAAGGTTGGAATCAGTGTAGCAAAGGGCCACAAGGATGGTGGCTGCTTTGCAGAGTAAGCCATATGAGGAGGGACTAAAGGAACTTGGTATTTTCACCCTTGAGAAGAGGAGACTCAGAGGATACCTGTTAGTGGCATACACGTATGTTAGGGGGTATCACATAGAGGTGGGTCATGACCTTTTCTGTCCTGTGGTGGAGGGCAGGTTGTGTTCCAATGGAGCAAAGCTCAGGGAACCAAGATTCAAGGTGGGAGTCAGGAAGTACTTTCTGACAGTTGGGACCACAAGGGTATGGAATGGGCTTCCATGGGAGGTGATTGAAGTCCCATCGGTGAGGGTGTTTAAGGATAAACTGGACATGCACATAACTGGAGTCGGTAATCAGACTAGATGGTCTGGGAGCTCCCTTCTGACTTACTCTGTTTTTATGTTTTTAAGTAAGGGATTGTAGTTTGGGAGGGGTGGACTGGAGACAGAGGCCCATTTGGCCTCTGTTCACCTTCAGCATATATGCAGCCAAGAATGCTCAGAATGACAGAGAACCTCTCCACAGTCTACTGCCTGGGGGTCCTGCATCAAATTACCCATGGAAACAATGCTGTGTAATGATATAGGACTTCTTTCCATTTTATTGAAGGTGGGTGGATGAATGAATCATTTATTGTGGTCAATGACTACTTCATAGAAACAGATTTTTTAAAATTACACTTGTAGAATAAACTGGCAGGTATAATTCAAACAATAAACCATTAAATTGGGAGTGTGGGGAGAAAAACAACAAGTTATAAGTAAACCTGTGAGCTGCCCAGATGGTGTATCCTTCCTTAATGTGGGAAATGGATGGATGATCATAGTGGGCAGTGGGGGTACTGGTTCAGCAATGGTTCTAGAGATATTTTACAGGATAGGAAAACAAAAACAAAAAGAATCGCACAGTTATCTTTAGGGTTTGCTTGACAGAGATCGCCCTGGCTTCAGCTCTTCGTTCACTGAGCAATACATGGTAAATCCAGGGTTACTGCTGGCTAGTCTGTGGAATGGTTTGAAGGCTCTATTTTAATGGGCTTTCAATATGCACCCTGAGAAGGGCACTCTGATGAATTACAGGATCTTTCTCCCCGTTCACTGTTTTTCCTGCAATGTGCTGTTGAAACAAAGATTCTGTGATCCAGGCATTTTGTTTCACAGACATTCATTTTATTTATCAGAGAGAAAGTCAACAGTTATTTGCCCTAGTTATTTAAGATAATGGCAATCATAATAAAGGCTGTTTTTGGTAACCACTGAGGGACAATGGGCCTGAAAAGGGGGAGTGAGACAAATGATGCCTCTCATTGTGCTTGCCTGTAACACTCCAAGACTGGAGGATTATGAGCATCCAATGGGAAGAGGGAGAAAGATACAGGTTAGGAATGCTTACACATTCCCTTTGCCCCCCAGACATGTAGACATCTGACTTGGGCTGTTAGGAGTCCACACAATGTCACACTTCAATGTCGGCTAGGGGGCCACTGGAGTTTACAGAGTGCCAGCTCCAAGGATCAGCTCCAAGGACCTCAGAAACATCTGCACCAACTAGCTCTCTGAAATCACACCTGGATCTTGGGGAAGCAAAAATGGGTGTGCCAGAGACTAGAGAGGGGAGGAGCTAAGGCCTTGCTTGGTGGATTTTTGCAGAACGTGCTCCAACAGAGCAAAGCTCAGGGAACTAAGGTTCAATTTGGATGCCAGGAAGTACTTCCTGACAGTTAGGACTTTGAAGGTATGGAATGGGTTTCCACAGGAGGAGGTTGAGGCCCCATTGGTGAAGGTGTTTAAGGAAAGGGTAGACATGGACATGGTAAGGCATGTCATGAGCAGAGCCGGCTGGAGCCAGGGGTCAGACTAGATGGCCCGGGAGGTGCCTTCTGACTTGCTCTGTTTCTATGTATGCCATTTCTTATCAGCACCACAACCTCCTTTCATCCTCAGCATCTTATCTAGATAGCTACCCCTATGCCTTATTCCATGCAAAGGAAGCATGCAAGCTTTCAAGATCAGAGACTTATGTGCAGTAAGTGTGGGAAACACAGGACTGTGCCCTGTTTCTTGTGAAAATGAGAGACTGAGACCACCAAGATTCATCAAGGATGATGCTGCCGTGCTGGTTCTGAGTATAGAGGTTTGGCTGCCTGAGGTTAGAGTCCCAATCTGATGTCAGGGTGCTTGTTCATGGTTGGAGCTGGAACTTCCCGCCTATTCTATGCCCCCCACCCCCAGGCATTGGCAGAAGGCTATAAGACCACACCAAAAGAGAACCACTATCAGACAAAATGCTGCACCTGGTACCAGAAAAGCTCAGGTTCAAACCAACCTAGAGATGAAGTTCACTAGATGATTCATGATCTCTCAGCAGTTTCATAAATTCATAGGAAGGATTAATTGTGTGTGTCTTGGGATCCTTGGAGAAAAGGCATAGTCAATTAATAGAGATGGGTGACCAATTTGTTTGGTTCACATTTCCATGCAAAGTAGTAAATTTACATTTCCCAGATGTAAAAATGAAACAGGGTTTCATGTTAGCTATCAACATCCAGACATTTCTTAAGCTAGTAATGCTGTTTGCAAATATAATGTATGTCTAAAATAGTGCATTTGCGGTGAGGGAAGGAGATAAAAATGCTTAATTCACTGGGGAATCACTTTAAAAATATATATGCAGATATTCACATAGTAAAGGAGGTTTAAAAACACTCACATGAAAATCCTCACCATGTTAAGTGAACTCTATCATAATTCAAGGGGAAATGAGATATAACAAACTTAAAAGTGGGGCAGGAGGATGGAAAGAAAGAGCCTGAGGGCAACTGAGCTTGACAGATTCAACCAGGTCTAACAATCAACAAAGAACTGATGTCATCACTAATGATAAAGATTCCTTGGGTCATAACAAAATAATTTATAGCCTCCAGGAAAGAAGGGGTGATGACTGACAAAGCAGATCTTCAGAGAAAGAAATTCTGAAGAGTTGTTGCCCATCCTGCAGATAGTTCTGTGCTGGTTGAACCAGTGGATTGACTATAGAGAAAGCAGCTTCCTTTGTCCTTTCCTAATAAAATTGAATCACAAAAATGGAGAGGGACTGTTTCCCAACTACCTCTTTAGACTTCTGTTCATCCTCACCATCTTTCATCTTTCAGCCAATAAACTTAAAGGCTGAAAGAATCCTGATCCTAAGTTTGCTTTTCTCCATTCCTGTCCCAAAGCAACAAACCACCTCCTCCAGCAGGACAAATTAGGAGGGATCAACTGCACCTCCCTCTCCCAGACACAGCACATGAAGCCATCATAAGATGCCTACAATTTCATACACTTTTCTAATCATCAGTAATTGGTGGATGTGAATCCATTCATTATGTATCTGAATACTCAGAAATGCCCAGTAAGTTATTGTTTCACTGTGTAGAAGGAAAGGAAAGGAAAGGCAAGGCAAGGCAAGGCAAGGCAAGGCAAGGCAAGGCAAGGCAAGGCAAGGCAAGGCAAGGCAAGGCAAGGCAAGGCAAGGCAAGGCAAGGCTGCTTAAATTAAACCCCCATACAGCTAACTGGCATTGCAGAGCAACACCAGCAGTCTCAATCAGAGCATTAGAAGACTTAGCATCCATTCGTAGAGGCCAATCTTTCAGCTCTATTGGAATTAGCAAGTGGCAGTTAAGCTACAATTTCCACAATTCAAGCCCAGACAGATAACCTCAGCTGGAAACCAGTAAAAGAAGGGCTTGTAATGTGTAGGTAATCAGCTTATGGATCTGCAGGCCACAGGCATTCATTAGCACACCGCTCTGTGTAGATGGTTGGCAATTGGTAGATTTTCTAGTTTATAAACAAATCTGCAGCCATAGACCATCACAGCCAGTTAGACTCTGTGCCAGCCCCCCCCCCCACACACACACCATTGATCACATGGGTTATCTGGGAACAGAAGGAGCAAAACAGACTCACCCTGCTTTCCTCGCATCTCTGAAAGTTGGCATGGTGGGAAACAAGTGGAGGTGGAAGCAGGAAGCCAGGGATTTGTGAAAATGATGTAGTGCTATATTAGATTTATGCATATATGCATGGGGACCAACATGCCTGCTGGAAAAGGCATGGATGAAAGATACTTAAATTTAGTCAAAAGTCATCCAGGCAATAATAACATAGTTACCAATATCCTAATACTTATTGAGTCTATTTTTCTTCAGATTTTTCATTCCCCACACTTTCATTTTAATCTTTCTGGAAGACAGATGGCATCTTGTGCCAACATTGTTCCCACCTCACTGTTGTTCTCATAGCAAATGTCCTATGGTGCATTTCCATCTTGCTTGTACATGGCCTGGAGTGCATGCTAGGAACCACTGAACTTACGGGTTTAGGGACATACAGGCATCATGGCAGAAAATACACAGGGACAATATGCATATGACTTAATTCTCCAGTCAACTTGTGTCTGTGCTGAACTGATTAAGACCAGAGGAAAAGAATGTTCTTCCATGCAAAGCAACACTTCCCACAATTAAAAAATAGCACATGAGAAGGAAAGCATGCATAACATGGTGCCATTTTCTCCCCAGCATGTTTATTTTCAACCATATATTGAGGGAAGGGCAAAAAGAAATCATGCGTAAAACAGAAAATGGATGCATAGGAATTTTGATGAATTTCTGGGGCTTAGCATGGATTTCCTTGTTTTGTGCTTTCCAGGATGGCTACCTATTAAGTGCTGGAAAGCTGAGAGAGGAATTTGGAAGGTAAAGAGACAGTTTTCCCACCATTTCCAGCTCCTTTTCTTCCTCCTCCTCCTCACTCAGCTTTAAGGTACTTAGCAGGAAGCAGTACTAGGATAGAGGGTGGATATTTCTTCCAAGTCATCCTGGTCTCTGTGAAGGGGAAAACCTCATAAAAAGCCCATGTATCTTTTTCAGGGAAGTTAGGAGGTTGCAAATGTCCAGGAGTGACTTGAGCCCAGACTTAATATTCAGGGAAAGCTGGTGGGCCCTATGTGGAAGGAGCTCCACATCCATTGCAGCTGTCACCCAAGCTTTACACGAGCCATCCATGGTGCTGGTCAAGAGAGGTTCAGAACCATGGATAGCACCTGTAAAGCTTGGAATGTAAGCCTCCCTTACAATAAATCCTCTATGTACGTGTATATTAGGGAGTTGTTAGAAGACAGCAAGTACCCTTCATTCTGCAAGGGATGCCCTGTTTTCAAAGGGCAAATAACAAAAGAGAGCAACTGCCCCTGGAAAGCTGCCACCGTATGCATATTTTATGATAGTCACCTTTCACCCAAAACAGCTTAATATTTTATAGGTGTGAGAGACCCATTATTTTGCTAAGTCTGAAATTTTCAAGATTAGGTATAAGAAAAATGTTTATGTTAATGTGCACTATTTAAAGAGAATGATGATCAGAGCAAAATGAAAACATTAAGCAGAAGGGACATAAAGACAAAAGCTCAGGGAGATATACAGCTGGATGATGATTTGTAAGGAAGATGATTAGGAAGACAGTGTGGTACATCATGCACTTTTAATTTGCATCTCTGAGACTCTGCCTTAATTGCAGTTCTCCACTCAAGGTGTGGCCTTCTAGACAAAAACAGGCATGAATGTCACAGAGTGTATCCTCCCCCAGAAGTTCACTGTTTCCAAAGCAATAGAACTTGAATTAAATTTCATTAAACAATGAGACACTAATGCTTTCTTTTCATTTTATTATTCCCAGTAGCTTGAGCTCCCTTTGGAGAATATCTAGACTATCTCCACAGGAGACACAAATAGGGGAAAGGGGGCTTATTTCCATATCTGAATAGAAACAGGCTCTCTATTTGTTGTTTTGGTGTTTTTTTTTAACTTGGGAAGAAAGAAATACAGTAAAGATTAATCTGTATTGAACTTCTTTTGCTTTATCAAGAGTAACTATTGTGTAATTATTCATAATAGGCTAACATTTCAGACATCCTAAAGGAAGGTTTAATGCATGGATCATGAGCTAAATTTCAGAACAAAATGTATATAACACCTTCTAAATTTATCATCCCCCATGTCTTGAAATCAGGCATGCTCAGAATTGAAATGCTCTTGTCAAGTATTGCTGAATTACAAAATGAGCTACAAAAGCAACATGGGGCAACTCTGGATTAACCCTACTTCCTTATATAGCATAGCAGCATATAAATTAGTATAATCATAAATTTGCTCCAATTATATGCAGTTAGGAAAAAGCAGCTTACAGCATTTCCAAATGGAATCAGTTAAGCACTCCACAGCCCAGGTAGAGCTAGCCAAGATTAACACTTTCCTCTGTTCAATAGAAACAAGTATAATCTTGGTACTTACTCTGCAAATAACATGGATGAAGAAGAACCAATATCAACTTGAATTCAGAAATGGAAGACTGTATTTAGGGAATGAAGTCAAAGGATGATGTTTGATCTCCTCAAAATTACCTAAACGAATGTTTGTATTATGTGAATCAAAAAAACAAAGTATTATCCATCCTTTTCCTGGACTACCATCATTCAGTTTTCAATGCAAGAATATTGAAGGGACCAGTAAGTCCCTACCCAATTATTGATGCTTAGGAAACTGAAGCTGAGGCAGAGGGTGGGGTAGAGAAAACAATTTCATGAATAAGAAGAAATATAAAAATATTAGAGATGCCTAATAGACCTGGCCATTATGATCTTGGTCCATCTCCATATTTCTTCTACACCCAAAGGTTATCTGATACAGATTTCTGTCTTGGCCCATGTGCAACACACAAAAAGCAGTCGGGGGGAAGGGGCTATGCAGGTTGCAAAAACAAATGCCCCCATCAAATCTTTTTTTTTTTTTCGATTCTGTTCCCTGACCGATTTCTACACTTCGCTCCAGCATTAATGCCAAACATCACTAGAACACCCATATGTTAAATTATTTTTACTTTTACTTTTAATTAAAATTAAAGATGTTGCTTTTTCTCATAAAACATGCAAGGATGCCCATTTGAATTTCTGAATGTAAGAAAGTCTGTCAAACGCATGTGTAAGTTGTCAAACATATGCCTGAAATTGGCACACTTCTGATTCCTAGTCTGAAAAATTCCTCCTTGGACTGAATCAGCCCCAGTTTATCTAGGTAAGTTACACAAATTATGAAATTTAACAGAATCAAACATTCTTTAAGTAAAGAAATAATTGACTGAGAGAGCATGGATGTTTCCATTTGGGTTTACTTCATTTTTTATTCAGCCAGTGTTTGCAATTTTCCATTTCAATGTCAGTTACTGGGATATGGTCTCCTCCCCTTCTAGTTTGAAAATCATGCATGGTTAAAAAAATAGATACACCCTCCGATATTTCAGAGGAGAAAATAGGGTGTTGTCAGACTCTTGATTTCCAGACCAGGAAATACTGCGATCCCACCCTGCCAATTCTACCTTTCTAAATGTTCTGCTCCATTAGCTGCAAGTGAGATAGCACTTGTTCAGTTAGGCAGAACAGGACACAACGTGTCCCATGGATATAAGACCCAGACGTTGTGTTGCACATAACTCCACACTACACAAACTCACAATTTCTATCTCAAAACAGAACAAAACATGAAGACCTTGTAACTTTAACTCTTCACTTAAACTGAAAGATTTATAGAAGGGGAGTGAAGGAGAGAACTTGTCCTTAATTATCTGATCTTCCACCAATTTAAAAGCCTGAAGAGTTGCTGTGAAGCAACCCAGTTCTCATACAATAGCTTGTCAAGAGTTGAAAATAACAACATTACTGTAGCAAATGGTTGTTTATGTGCTGCATGATAAACTTGTGTTCATGTTCAAACACCCAGTTCAAGATTTAATTCCAGTGATCCTAAGGAAGGAGGTGAACCCTGATAAATAGCAACTCTGGGAAAATGCACTAAAGAATCTTGGGAGTAGGGGAGTAAAACAGTACCTTCCTAGGAACCAACCCACCCACCCAAAATGACTCCACACCTGTTCCTCATAAATAAGCACACAGAGTACACAGACTCCTCTGAACTTCCCTAATTACTTTACTGGTTCATGATACAACAACATTTAGTACTCAGGTACTACGTGAGCCCAGTTTGACCTTTAGAGAAGTCTGACCTTCTTGTTTAGTCAATAAACAGGATGAATATACAGATAAGAGAACGAGACTGCCAGCTCCCCTTGAAAGCAAAATGAGTTGGCTACTGGAGACAAAGGTATTGGTTAAAAAGTCAAAGAAAGGTCAATATGTACACCAGTTCTAACAGTAGGATTTACTATTTTCAAAGGTATATCAAAATTAAACAAGCACAAAAATTGCTTTGATGTTCACACATGCAGTGGCAACACATAATTAAGAATATTATACTGCGCTTGGTCAGCTGGGAATGGGGGTCCCTGAGATGCTCAGGTGGCTTGCGTGCAGCGTACTTTTGGTGCATTGCTGACTCAAAAGCCAAAAGTGGCTTTGATCAGTGTTGTTGTTGTTGTTGATGTTACAGCTTTTACATTTAAAGCAGGCTTCAATTTGCATCTTTAAAGCCAGGGAAATTTGCATAATTTATGCCCACAATTTTCACCATACAACCATCATTTGTATGAAATGTGCCTGGAATTTACTTGGATCTTCATGGCTTAAAAAAACACACACACGCAAACAGCAACAGGAACAACCATAGCCCAGTTTGAAAGGTGATGAATCATGCCAGAATGACTGAGGGGAGGAATCTGAGTTGCAGGGAGGGGACTGAGCCACACCAGTCCTCTGAATTTCCGCCACCCAACTGGATTCCTCACACATGCCTCAGCGGAGCAGGTTGATATTTCTGGATCCTAACTTTATCTGTAGCGGTTGCCTGAAAGCATTCTGTCTACCACAATGTGACCCATTGGAGGATTTCCAACAACCACTGGAGCAAGGGAAAGGTTGTCAGAATAGGATGTGGATGTAACTGACTTGCATGTTGGCCCCTAGGAGGGGACTGTGCTTGCTAAATTTGTGGGAGGGAAATAGGTGTGGGAGTTCTTGTGCTATGCATAGGTGTGTGCACACACATTGAAAGAGATAGATAGTTTTTAAAATTTCTCAGTAGAATTGGAACAACTTTGCAGAGATTCTCCCTCTGAGGAGAAGTTTCATATTAATATGTAGGTAGAGCAGCCTCTGCACCAGAGCATTCTTTATATTTCAAGGGAAACCAAGAGTGGGTGTTCTCATCCCCATGTATTCCTTGCAGGCCAGTCCTCTGAAAATGATGGACAATATAAAGATGAGCCTAAATAAGAAAAGAGAAATGTTTCAGAAAACTGAGCAAAAATGAGCCTAATGCCTGGTGGTGGTGGTGCCACTCTTGGTTTCTTTCTGATGTGGGTGAAGGTCAAGCACATTAACCAAAACCCAGATGTTTAAGAGCTGAGTGTTTAAAGGAAATTATCATAGGAATGTTTCAGTTTAAGTTTCCCCTACTTTTTCAAATTATTATTTCAAGTCCTTTTATCCTGTCTATAGAAAACTTTGTCAATATCCTGGACCAACAGAAGGACAAATAAGTGAGCCCTAGGTGAAATCAAGGCAGAACTTCCCCCAGAAGCAAAAATGACACAACTGAGGCTGTCATATTTTGGGCACATCACAAGAAGGCGAAACTCCCTGGAGGAGTCAATCATGCTAGGGCAAGTTGAAAGCTAAAAGGGGAAAGGAAGAGCAATTATGAAATGGACTGACTCCATAAAGGAAGCCACAGCTTTGAATTTAGAAGAAATGCTCAGGGCTATCAAGGACATGGCATTCTGGAGAACATTCACTTACAGGGCACCATGGTTTAGAGATGATTTGACGGCACATAACAACAATATAGAAAAATTCACGTGCTTTGCCAAGTTCTTATCAAATCTGAATGGAAATGAAGTTTCCCCCCATCCCTGCTCAGATGCACCTGAAATGGCCTGAATGGGTGGGAGTAAGCAGAATAAGGCAGAGGCCCACGCATGGCTGAGCAGCGCCTGCCTCGATTCTGTTTGCAGGTACTGGAGCAAGCACTGTCAAGCAATCGTGGTACAAACCTCTCCCCTCATCATAACTAGGTCAGAATAATACATATGGATAATTCGGAAATGAGGTCTATTTCTAGACGTAGTGCATTGCTACAAAATGCCCATTCCCATGCTGAGAGACAGACAGACAGACAGCAAGAGAAACTAGTGTTTTCTACCATTTTTGTATCACTGTGTTCTGTGGAATTCTGGTTGTGAAATGATTCAAATATGCAACTGTTCACCTTCAGACTGAATACGTCTACTGGGCTGCATCAGATTCTTGGTTTGACTCCACTTTCAATTTTTGCACACTCTGGCATACTCTGTGTTAAGAGCCAGAAACATAATTTATTGTTGTTCATGCTTGTTCCCTCATTCAGAGCTAAGCCACATTAATTTTCATTTTATAATTCAGAGAGGAAGGATGAATTGAACCTGCATCTTCAAGCCTAGAACAAAAGAACCTTGCCAGGGGAACTCGGCAAAGGAGCTTACAGAAACACACAGAAGGCAGTAAAACCCCCGTACTGGTGAAGTCCCAACCCAAACTTTAACTCATTCATAGCCCTACACCCCCTCTAGAAGTGCCCAGTGGACAGTCTGGGCTGAAGGAACCTGTCCAGAGACAGACAATAGTTCACTGATCAGAGCCCTTTTCAGACACCAGTCCTGAAAATGGCTTATATGCATGAGTAGAAAAGATAAAGTTCCTTGGCTTCACAACCGGCATCTTTCACATGCACACCTTCCCTTCAGACCCCAACCTTTGTTTCTTGCACAGGTAGACCTGCAGCAGGCTTGTTTGAATATGAAAAGACCAGTTTGCACCTTCAGAAACCCTGGTTGTGTGGAGGCTTCTCCTTGCATTCAGTTGAAAAAAGTAGGGTCCCCATGCGGACCTCTCTGCTCAACATATGCACAACCCCACCCAAATTACTCATGTGATAACCAAATAGAAGAAGCTCTACACTGGATTTCTGGTAGCCTATACAGGGGAACCTGTAGAGAAAACAAATGTTCTCAGACCTAGTGCTGCTAGTGCCTGAAAATAGTCTTTCTGTCCTGGTGATAGAAGCCCATGGCCACCCACTCTAGAACCTAGACATCCTTTGGTGCCTGGAACAGTCCTTCAACCATATTCCTAGGGGCCCACCTTATGAGGGAAGCATCACACATAGCTTTGGATTTTCAGTTCTCGGCCTCACAGACTCCACCAATCAAGTCAGGGAGTTGCAGCTGCATAAGTGAACTGCCTCCATAGAGACATACTATGTTTGTGATTATGACTAATGTTTGATCTGCCTAGCAGATAATTCACCATTTGATGAGAGCAACAAGCATGAGTCAACACATTCTCTTTTTAAACAATTTAAAATGGCCGATTATCTTTGTGCTGCACTAACAGCCTCCTGACTCATCCAATACTTAGGTTCTCATCTTTATTCTGAGAGGCTCAACTTCCCCTTCTCTCCCTCCTCCCCCCACCCCCCTTATAGAAAGGAAAAGGAAAAGAAAAGCACGGAATTAAAAGAAGAAAGGCAATTACTGTAACTCGTACAGTGCCTACAACTTTGTATTCATGGCCGTGATCAGCCTTATAAACATCTGTTATAAATAGGACCCAAACAAGCCTACAGGTTGCTCAGCGGGAAAGAGATGCTTTAATGGGCTTGCTTTTGAAAATATCTGCATGTGGGGAAACTAAATACCAGCAATGCTCTGCAACATAAAACACTGCGGTATCAAAGAGAGGCAGGCAGAAAAAAATCATCAAGGAAACAAAGTCACAAGGACTTTATGATGCGCAACTGGTAATCTTCCCAGCCAAGACTAGAGCTTTTTTCAACCAATTATTTCTGTCTTTTTGCAGGAAGCACCACTCCCTAGCTCCATAAAAGAGTGTACTCTTAAAAGCCCACTCACAGGAGTGCATAGACCTGTGTAGATTTCAATGCACAGGCAAGCTCCAACACATGAAGAAGGGAAGTGGGGATGAGTGCATCACCTCTGCCCTATCTCTTGCAACATGGAGAGCTTGACTCTACTCATGGGTGATTTAGAGTCCTGAATTTAGAAAATCAAACTGCTGGCTTTGTGTTGGACTTCTCTACCAGTCCGTCCTATGGAGGTCCATCCAGTTCTATGGAAACATTACTCAGAGAGTCAGTTAAATAAGGTGAGCTGAGGTGCTGGGGAACCTCCTTCCTCTTACAGAAACATGCATTTATTTGTTTATTCCATGTCTATACCACACAGTAGCCAAAGGTATCTAAGTTGTTTCCAACAATAAAAAATGCTGACACAATGAAAATACCACAGAATTTTTTTCCAATCTACAAAATTAAAACAGAAAACAGAAAACAGAACAAAACAATTTAACAGTTAAAATATTTTCAGTGTAAATGAGACCTGTTAAAACAGACAAAAATGCTCCATCATGGCTTAAACCCTATTCGGGGTCAATAAACACCTCAGAGAAGAGCACAGTTTTAAACTGGTGCTGAAAAGATGACAGATTTGGTGGCAGGCAGGTCTCAGTGGAGAGATCATTCCATAATGGGAGACGCACCACTGAGAAGGTCTTTATTGCTACCCTCTGAAGTTCCTTTGGAGGTGATACTCAGAGGTATGCCTCCTATTTTCATCATCATTTCAGGTAGAATCAGGTTGGGATACAGTTTCCATCAGGTTTTGTAGTCCTAAGCCAAGTAAGGTCTCTTACAGAAAAACCAGCACCTTAGATCTGGTTGAAAGCCTACAGAAAGCCAGAAGAAGCAGGTCAGAATTGGTGTCATATGTTCAGACCTTCTGAACCCAGTTATTAGTCTGGGGATGGGGGTGCGGGGGTTGTTGTTGCAGCTTCTGACCAGACAAGCCCCGAGTAGAATGTATTACTTGGATGTCACCAGCATATAGATTACTGAAACAAGGATAAGCCCGTCCACACAGGGGAATAGCTGGGCCAAATGTTGTGAAAGGCACTCAATACCACTGAGGGCACCTGAGTCTCAAGGGACACATTTGACTCCATCAGACTCTTCCAAGGTATGTGCCTGCTTCATCAGGTGGAGTATTCTGGATGGCACCAGTCAGCCACTTCATGAAGATAAGAAATAGCACAGAAAATAAATCTTTCCTTGGGGAAATCCACTGGACTGGAAAGACCAAAGGGTTGAGCCATGTTCCTCAAGTATCATCTTCTAAAGCAGCTCTTCCAAGGCATACTTCCATGTAGTACATCAAACAGCTCAGACAGTAGCACCAGAGAAATACTATGGTCAATGCTACAGAACACTGCTGAGAGATCCAGAGTCTCACTCCCCCAATGTTGTTAAGATCTTACGAAGTCCAGGGAGGGTTTTTTTGGAATCAGTTGCACAGCCACCTCTTCAGATAGCATGGAACTATCTGAACAATTCCCTGTTGCAAGGCTACATTAATCATTTCCCTTCCTGAGCAAGCTGTCTCCTCTTTGCTTGATGTTATAAGCCAAGAGGGGCAGGGATCAAATATGGAAGTAGCTGAATAAACCTCTCTGAATACTTTGCCAATGTTCTCAAGCTGTACCAGCTGAACTCATCCAAGAAAACTGGACCAGGCTACATACTAAATATCTTGCCAGATTCAACTGCTGTAATGTTGGAGTCCTGCATTTCCAAGAAGTTTTATCCTGAATGTATTTCAGCAGACCCCAGAAAGACTGACTGTGTCCTTAGGGCCAGGATGCAATAGGCCCCAGATGACACCAAAAAGTTCCACTGGGAAGATTAATTGTACTAAAGTAGGGAGATACTGCTTCCTTGTCCCCTGACTGTTCCTACAAATGACTGACCATAGAGGTCAGAATTTGATTGCATCTACTAGGAGTCTTAATTCCACTGACATTCAAGCCAAGTGCTATTTTGTTTGATTCCTCTCAGATCCAGGGAGCATACAATGGAGCGTGTTACAATAGTTACCAGGGCATAGGTCGCTGTTGCTAGGCTCTGCTCATCCAGGTAAGGGCACAATGGATGAACCAGTTGAAGCTGAAGGAAAGCACTCCTAGTCACAGTAGACCCCTGAAGTTCCAGGGATAGCTTTACGTCGAGGAGCCCTCTCAAACTGTGCACCCTGTTCAGGATATGATACTGGAATGTCCAGCTTAATCAATGAACTCTGTCATTTCTTTCTTGTTACACCTTATCCTTGGAGCTCCCTACCTTGAAGCTCATGTGGTGCCTTCAATTTGGAGTCAATGAAAAAATTGTTTCATTCCTGGTTTTTGATCAGAATTTGCCCACTTTGCAACTTCTGTATGGAACAGGGACTCAGATACAATCTGTGATCAAAGTCTGTATATTCCTGAATTTCCAATAATCTTTGTGAACTCAAAACTGTGAGTTTTGTATGAAAGGTCATGTGTAGATTTGAACGTATGCACTGAATGCATTAATATATTTGAAAAATGTGCACAAATTTCTGTAACCAGTGGGAGAAGAATGCGTAAAGAGTTGCACAATTGATCTGTTCATTTGGAAAAATATGCTAGAGCATATACATGGCATTTTATGCATAAAACAAACCCCCTAAAGATTGCAAACAGATACAGGCTTGAGTCAGAACAGATTTCAAGAAGGAATTTGGAAAACTTTGGAAAGCTTAGGTTTTGCTGATTTGCATGTCTTTCGTCTTCATCTTTCCTTTCCCATGAAGCCTTTGGGACAAGTTAGTCTCTTGCAATCTCTGTTTGCCTTATTCATAGGATCAATCCCCTTCTCTTAAATTGTAAAACACCTAGGCATTATTAAATTAAATAGATGAGTAAAATGAATGCTTTCTGTGTGTAGGAGGGAGGGGTCACCTTTGCAGTGATGTATGAAAACAGCAGCTATCAAACAGGTACAAACATTACAGGTTCCCTTTGATTGCTTTCCCAAATATTACTGTTGCAGTTCATCGGGCCCTTCCCTCCAGTTCTTCAAAGAACAGGTTAAGCAGAAACAGTTTAGATAAAGCTAAACCTACATCCCCAAATCTTTCTAGAGTTTTATGCACCATTTATACTATAACTCAATATGTTTTCTTCACAAACTTCAGAAAGCTCTAGCAAGCCTTCATTCTACTTTTTGATGTCTCTTTTAAATTGAAACCATAAACTGGAGGGAGCCACGTGCATTCCTCAGAGAAGAATCACAGAGAGTCTTTTACCAACCATATTTAATGGCATTCTTTCATGTTTATCATCAGCAAAATGATGCATTGCAGAGAATGGGTGAATACAGATGACCAGCTTCCTACGTTGTTATGTTTTCTATCATGTGGTTGCTCAGTGATCCACATTAATGCAAAAGCAGAGGGGTATTTTGCTTTTTTACAATACATCCTAATTTATAGTGAAGGTTCAGGGTCTGCAGGCTCCCCTTGCTTTTTTTGGTTTTGCTTTGTTCTCTTACATTTGTGATGTCTATATGTGTATGGATTGGGATTTTCATAAAAGAAGTGAACACATTTTTCCATATTAAAATATTTACTTTACACCCTAGCATCAATACAAAATACTTGCAATATTTGTAAGCATAAAATTAATTCAATCACTATCTTATTTTAATATGTTTATTATTTATTTTAATCCTGCTTTTCAAACTATCATTACCTCCCAAGGAAGCTCTCATCAGGGAAGAGAGAAACCAACACCCCAACATTGGTTACAAACTGTAAAGATGAGGCACACTGGAGAAACAGTGTGCAGAGAAAAATAAGGAGTATGTTAGAACAGTTCCTGAAAGCCGAAACAAACTGGTGGCCATTTGTATCCACTTCAGGCAGGATGATCTTTGTTTGCTGGTGTTCCTGCCTGAACAGCAATTCTTTAAATATTTTAAAAAATAGACACCTTCCATCAAATCTTCCATAAGTTAAATTGGTTGTGTGATTCCACCCACTATTTTGTGTGAATACAGAAAATACAGGTTAAAATACTTGTTCATACTTACTGGGGAAATCTTACTGGACTGAGTTTCCATCTATCCTCTCACAGCTTGTTCTATTGTTAAAT